TACAAAGAAGAAACAAAAAAAAAATAAATATATTGATAAGATGAAACTTCTCAGTATTCCAAAATCAATGTAAATAAGTATTAAGTAATATTTTTAAGGTACAACAGCCTAGACAGTAATATAGATTAAATAAAAGAATTTCTTTTAATTTCAATTATGTATTGTATATTATATGTGTAGTGTCCATGTTATTAGTTTATATAGTTATACTATGATATATTTACATATAAAAAACAGATCTTAATGGAGCACCAACTACAAAATTTTCGAGACGATTAAAAGAAACTACAAATATTTATCCTTCACTCATCTAAATACAAAGAAAAAGAATATAAATTTGAAAACTTTATTCCATAATTAATTAAAACTTATGTAACATAAAATAATTATAATCAAAGACAGTGTAACAATAACAAAATTATCAAACGATGATTAAATAAGTCAAGATGAAAAAATGATATCGTCGGGGATAGTGCGAATCCCCGCAACTATCATTGGATAATTCCAATGGGAAGCAGATTATTATCAGAAGAAATTAAGGCTGTTAAGCTGTTAAATATTAACTAAATTAACTTTTAAGGTGATTTTTTCACAATTAGAAATAAATTGAACACTAAATAATTATGTACTAATCGTGAAAAAATTATTTTAAAATTCGTTTATTTGGAAAATATTTCATCGAAATTATCCAATGGTAGTCCTGCGGATTAGGGTGATTAGGGATAGTGCAATATGCCGAAACGTCGGCATATGCCAAATCCTTCAATAATCCAAAGCATAGCACAAAGCGACGCCACGCTTTATCCTGTGAGATTGTGGCTTATGAGTCGCCAGTTCAATAGTCATTACATAGTTGGTCGAGTGTCCAGTGGTCGAGAGTGTCCCGGCTCTTACGAGTGTCTTGTATGTCGGACATTCGTATAAACCCTGCGCTAGACGATGATTTTGTTCCGGTTTCATATATATGATTGCCAATTCTGGAATTTAATATTTTAAATATTTTAGTTTTTATCACCTCATTAAAATGAACTACTGATAAAGTAGTGAAGTTTTCAAATACCAACCGGTATGTAGTTCCTTTGGCCTGCTTTCTTCTAATGTCATATCACCAGTATTAAATCTAGCATCTTCTAAAAATAGGCCTCGGACACAGCAACCATCATCTGGTTTCTTCGCTGGCGGAGCGTTAAGAGCCTGGAAATATAACTTAGTTTATAATAGAATATGCATTTATATTTTTTCACATCTATTCTGGTATAAATTTTTTAACTGATTTGGCATTGAATAATATATATTTAGAATAAAGATTTCGGAGACTGTTTCGGGCGGTCTGCGAGAGTTTCGGATCCCGAGGATTAATTACTTATAGAATTATATGAAAATAATTTGTTTTTATTCTCTTTTCCAATTCCTATTACTAATGATATATTAGCAAGCGAAACTGTGGAAACTTATACAAATTCTTTTAATTTAAACTGTACCATTATCGTTATTACGTTCTTTGTCTTACCTCAAAAGCGTAAGCCACGGTATCAATTGCAATAACATGTTTTCTAGCATAGTTTTGTAATTCACCAGTAAGAAATGCCTGGGGGAAGTAGAACCCAGAAATCCAAAACACAATCCCACCATCAGCCCACTGCTACATTAATTGTACTCGGAGACATAAATCTTTCACCCAAGCCGCTGGTAAAAAGACAAAAATAAGAAATGAACCCTTTCTAAATTTATTATGCAGCCTATTTTTTGCCATGTTTTTTTTTGGTATTAAAAGTCCAATACCAAGTTGTTTAAGCGAAGGATACGCCTTAGCGCTCCACATATTTGGAACAGCGTTTTTAGCCAAACTTCCGGACATACTTTCTAGGGCTTCCGACATAACAACTAAACCTTTGAGTGCTTTTTGTAGGTCACTAGCAGAAATATTTATTTATTTATTATTTATTTATACTTTATTGTACAACATACTAAAACTAAAAAATACATTATCGTTATACATATATTACTAATGTATGTTGTGCAACAGGCGGCCTTATCGCTAAACAGCTATTAAAATATTAATCAAATAAAATATTAGTAAAAGAATGAACTGTTAATTGCCATTTGATTAATACACTGACTGAAGAGAACTGCTCATAACGGCCAAAAGCTTATTATATCGTCTGACTTCTTGAATAAGTACTGTATTTAGGGACTCTTTCTAAAACACAGGGTAGCTGTTAGGATAAAAAAATATATTAAATTAACTTAGTAAATATATATAAACAGCCTATCCATTAGTGATATTCATATTTAAAATTACATATGACTTACATACTTATACAAGAGCTAGTCTCACACATAGCGTAACTGATGTTGGCATTAGCGTGCAATCCGAATAACGACGGGTCATAGCTCAGCGGTAAGGTGCGTATATAACGATCAAGCGATGAAGATTGTTGCTGTTAAAACAGTTATTATAACTTCAAACAAATTATACAATAAAACAGTCTAGAAGTATGAAGAGAAATCATTGGTGCCTGAATTGAATGATATTAACGGTGCGTTCTCCTAGTTTATAAATCATAATACATCATAAGGAATTTATATACCTGTTTATAAGCACCACTCTCATCGAATATCCATCTGTCATTGAGTACAGCAGGTGTGTAGTAATCAGCCAACAAACACAACAGACACCGACGATCCCAATCATCAGTGACTCGTCCACCTTAGTTAATATGACCCGCTGTATACGTTAACATCTGAACAAACTGATTTAAAATACCAATTACAAGTATGTAAACATTAAAATGTATCCTATCTATTATAATAATATTCCAACTAAATCTTGTCCATAATGCAAGTATTGTTTAAGTTATTGCTTTCGTGAACCCTATTTCAATTAGAGACTTAGTAACGAACCTCAACGTCAGTCCTATTGTTCTCCCAGAATATCATACAACCCAAGAACACAAATTATATCAGTTACATAGTAATCTACTACTAATTTTAACAAACCCATAGGTTCTTTCATGTTAACTAGTTAATAAAAAGCAGTCTTTTACAAAGTAAAGGTATTAATTTACCGTAAAATTAATTAACAAACCCGCAATGGAACTTCATGTTATTCAGTCAGACACGCGAAGTTGAGAAATACAAGTACGAAGATCACCGTCTGTGAATTCGTATGGTATATTAAAACCAAGAAGCCCAAACTTCCGTCTTTCTAGAACTACACCATGGAATAGGCATAGTGAAAATAGTAGCCACTGAAAATTACAAAAGTTTTGTTACTAATAATTCAACAGTCCTAAAACCTGAAGAAATGAAATAAAATAGCTTCTTCATAAAGTCAACTGAGAAAATAACATGTCTTTGTTTCGAAGTCATATAACAAATTTAATAAACAGATAAACATTTTATACTTGTTTTTCTTAATATAAATAATATGGAGAACCTTAAAATTAGAAACTTTGCTGTCTATGAATTAAATTATTCAAGAAAATCAGGGACTTGATTCATATATGCTTTTAAAAAGTTCGCTTTAATTCCTCTAGGTGGTCCCACTGTCATTTTATATCCTGAAAAATTCATATATATTTTTAAAACCTTGATGTATAATTAAATATGATAATAATATATAATTATTATTATAATTAGAATTGTACGTATTATTTATATTTACAACTTTAAGAAAATAAGGTATAACTTAAATACTTGTTTGTTGTATGGTTATAATTTACTTTATATACAAATAATATTTAAAATACCGTTCTGTAATAATGCCACAGGAAAGAAGGGTGAAGGTGTTGATGTGAGTCACAGCCGAAAGTCCTTATGAACTACTTCTGGGACTATTTGCTCCACATTTAACTCCAAGACTGGCATCCATGATGGAGACAAATGGCAATTCTGTAATTTACATTTAAAAATATATATATCGTGAGGTCAGAAGTCACACTAAAAAGGTATCTACACATATGTAGGTTCGAGTTAACATCTAACGCAATAAATTTCATTAAAATAGATTTTGATGTCTACTGAATAAAAATACAGCCAATTAGCCTAGACAAAATTATTATCACATTTTTTTAATATATTATGTACATAAAACGGATATATCATACATATTTGGAATATTTAAGAGTTAATCTAATCTTAAATTAATTTCTTTGAATTGTGATGTAGCATTTTCTTAAAATTGTTTTAGATTCATTATGAAAAACACTTAAGCCGTGCTATAAGTTATATTCGAATGATTAAAAAAAACAAATATACATTAGTATTGAAAGAAACTGTAAAACTTTACCTGAAAAATTTAAGTTATAAAAAATTACTATACACACTTATTAAATACAAAAAATATTACTTTTAATCGAATATACTATTGCTAACATGTTTTTCATAGTATAATATTGTTCCAATGTGTACTAACCGCTATCTCCGCCCTCAGCGCGTCGTGGTGCGCCCTCTGAGCGTGCGGTAGCTGGGGATGACGACCACGAGATGACGTCACGGAGCTGGGGAACGATATTCATGATATATATCTTATATATAAATTCTTCTGTGATTGTGTATGTCACTGAACTTCTCTCTGGACCGAGTATGATGAATTTTTTTGTGTGAGTTCAAGGGGATCTGGGAATGGTTTAGATTCACAATTTTGTCCGCTGGACAATGTTTTTTTAATTATTTTTTTATTTATTAGTAGTTGTTGAAACAAACGTTTTTTTTTGACATTAGATTTGACAACTAACTAATATGTCAATCATTCTGTCGCACTTCAAAACACGGAGATTTATGGCTTTAATAGGGAAACTCCAAAAATATAAATAAAAAAACGTAACAGATATTTGTTGATTATAGGCCGATACGAAGTTCGCCGGGTCTTCTAGTATTCTTATATAACTAATAACAAATACATGTTTTACTTTGTTAATAATTCATCAAACTTACTAATAAAATATATTTATACTTTAGTTCCACTTTATAAGCCGAGTTAAAGTTTCAAATTATATCTATATGTTTGTATTCGCTCCCTTATCTCGTGAGCCGTATATAACTAACCGAGTGCTGCCTCCTGCTTCGCACACAGAGCATGCATCTGCTTGGCGTCTCTCAGGAAGCAGTGCCAGTCGATCAGCTGCTCCAACGCCACCTGGCGCGCGGCCCTGGAAATAATTAGTATTAACTAGTGAGATTAATGAACCAGAATTACCTGTGGTTATACATATCAGAAAAGATTTATCTCATGAGATATACTTTCGCGGGTAATCATTGAAATGTAACTAATATTTTTTGTATTCACTATGATGTCTACTCGTGATGCATGTAAAATATCGGTAGTACGTTATAAAAAAAATAACTATAAACACTTAGTAAAGTAAATACAAAAAATATTACTTTTCTTCCCAAAGAGGGTTGATGTCAAGCAGGCGGCCGGTCATAAAAACAGTTAACCAACACTATTCACATCATGCAAGGCAGACCCTGGCTAAAGCTGGGAAATTGCCAGGTAGAAGAAGATACTATTGCTAAGATGTCTTTCATATTATAATATTGTTCCAGTGTGTACTAACCGCTGAGCTGGGATGTTGGTCATCCAGTAACCTCTGCCCCCTGGCCAGTACGTCCTTGAACCCGTGCCGCTGGTGCTGAGCGTGCGGCAGCTAGGGACGGCGATCACGAGATGACGTCACGGAGCTGGGGAACGATATTCATGATATATATAACTTATATATAAAATTCTCGTGTCACAATGTTCGTTCCCGTACTCCTCCGAAACGGCTTGACCGATTCTCATCAAATTTTGTAAGCATATTGAGTAGGTCTGAGGCTCTGAGAATCGGCCAATACCAATTTTTCATACCCTAAGTAATAGGGGCTGTTCACCCCTAATTTTTGTTTTGATTTGGACGAAAGGTTTTGTTTTTATTTTTTTATCAAGTGGCAAAAGAAATACATAAAATCCTAAATATTAATTTTTTTATCACCAACCCCTACTTTTAATATGACAAAACAACGTTTGCGGTGCAGATAGTATATATTAAATAATAAATAATCAAAACTAAGACAACCATTAAATTAGTGCTTAATATAGAAAAATATCTCTTAATTAAACTTTATTTCATTTAATTTTTGTTACAAGTGCGATGTCGAACTGTATATCCATAATTTTTTTTGTTATAAGTGTAATTCTCATAAAAGTGATAATAATGTCTTAATGGAAATAAAATATCATAAAGGATACATTATTTATAGGCGTAAAATCGTTAATAATTAATTAGTATATAAAGAAAAAATATATATAAATTAGATAGATTAATCAAATGTAGCAATATATTAAAACACTATCAGATCATAAAGGTTTTGTATAATAGTGAAATCCCACAGTAATACCGTCTGTATGGATGGATAGGAAGGTCTGTAATTCCAGGTGTTGGTGCAGCAGTTTCCTCCTAAGATCTGCAGCTCAGCGCTATCGGCTAGGAGTTACCGCCGGGGCATAACCGCTGGAGGCGAGATCCTTCCTCCTGGAGCACCTGGAAATAGATTTAATATCACTACAACTATCTCTTCTACCTGGAAACTTCCCAGCTTTAGCCAGGGTCTACCTTACATGTTGTGAATAGTTTTGGCTAATTGTTTTTACGACAGGCCGCCTGCCTGACATCAACCCTCTTTGGGAATGCATTAATCAGTGATGTCTAAATATTCTTAGAAAGTACATATGACTCGGAAAAATCACATTGGTACTTGCCCGGGCCAGGAAGTATATTACTACAACTATAAAATACTGCAAAAATCAGTTAAAATCTTATTTAGGCAGAATTAGGCTACATTAAATGAGGAGCTATGATATTATGAAATAGATTTTGACAAGTATTCATTTAAATGAAACTAATATTTATCATGTCGTCTGCCCGTGATCATGATACTGTAAAGTAAACGAAACGTCGGAAATAATAATTTTTATCAAAACGTTCATCCAAAAAATATTAGTTTCAGTTTAAAATCTTAAATTTCATTATAAGTCAATCGTAATAGTCATTCTGTGTCTTTGAGTTTGCATTTCTTATCACTGTTTTGTACACAATTATTGTTGCTTTGAGGGTGTATATTTTAAATTTCATATTTAAAGCAAAATTTATTGTAAGAATATGTTAAACTACCTAGTGATACATTTATTATGATTGTCGAAGTTTTAATTTAAAATACATAATATGTTTATCGTCATAATTTTCTCAAGTAAGTGAAATGTAATTTCTTTTTGAGAAAAATAAAGTATCTTTAACCATAATAATTGTTTTGTAGTACCTGCATCTGCGCGTCTATAGCGACCATATCGTTCTCGCCTGGGTCGTGGTCCCGCAAGAAGGCGTGCCCGGCGCTCCCCGGCCCGCGCCAGCAGGTCCCCGGCGTCGCGGTGGAAGCGGTGTATCTCGCCAGCAGCAACCAGGTTCTGGCTGCAGGACTGGATCTGTTCTATGCTGACCAGACGCTGCCAGGACTCGCTGGAATGTATGAATTGTATTTGAGTTGTGGATTATGTAATTTAGATCTTATAAATATATTATTAAAATTCATTTTGCCTTGTTTTAAACGACATGTGGAATTTGTTAATTAGATTCTATGTGTATGTAATTAAGTCTCATTTTTCTTTGTCTAAATTAAATTCTATATCTAGTCATTAAGTGTCATTTTAACTTGTACAAATTTATTTGCATTTGTGGTATGTCTTATTTAGATTCTATATCTGTATGTATGGTTAAAACTAATTTTGTTTGGTATAAGTTTATGTGGACATATTGGATATCTGAATAAGATCCTATATGTTATGTAATTAAGGGTCATTTTCCGAGTTCCCCTCACCCGAGCATTTCCTGTCTCTTTTCAATGTCAGCGATGTAGGGGCTGTCTGAGGCGACCAGCTTCTTGGCCAGCTCCTCACACTAGTTGAACCTCTCCGCCCCACTCTCTACACGGTGACGGAGCTCTTCGAACTTGGACCTAAGGATCTGTGGTTGGGGAAATATGATGTCTTAGATTATAGATATAATTAAATGGTTTTGGAGGATATTTTAATGAAGCTGTAAAACTTTAGGTATATTTAATATTATGACATGCTAATCTTTGCACATCCTTGTGAGATACAAGAAATAAAAAAAAAACACTAAATTACTTACTAAATGCTCAAATTGACTTAAATTTCAACGAAATTTAGCATTCATTCGTTAGTTTCTAAAAATAGGATTGCTGAACGGATTTCCGTGAAGTTTCAAAGCTTAGTATTTGAAGATATAACTGAATAATGTCTCCATCACCAAGTGTGATGGCTGGAGTACCCTCTCATCATCATCTACATATCGTTACTCACCAGTAAGTGTTCATAGTCCTGTCCGTAGTCTTCACTGGAGGCGGCTGCTTGCTGCTCCGCAACCCATTCCTCCAACTCAGCGCTCTCAGCGCTCTCAGCGCTCTCATATTCAAGTCTAAGGATAGACACACATATTTTTAGAGGATATCCTATTTATATATTCCTATAACACACATATACTAGTCTTTGTCAGCAACTTCTTCATAATCAACTTCAGGAATAGAAAGGGGTTACTGTGTAACGCTTAAGAAGCAGTAAATAACAAGTCTTTGTTAAGTAGTTATTTCTTTAAATTTCGACCTCGCTTAATGATAAGTATGCTACGTAAGTCTCCTGTTTCTAAACTACCTCGAAACAAATTTACAAATTCTTATAGCCCTTCTTGATTATAAGTAGTGCGGCGAATATGATATGTATATATATAGTATCTCTCACCTGCACACACTCTCCACGAGCGCGGCCTGCCTGCTCGCTGCCAGTCTCTGCAGCCTAGCCAGACTGCCAGCCAGCTGGTCATGTCTGGTGACCAGCGCGGCGCCCTCAGGATGACCACCGGAAGCCATGGATTGCGCCACGTGACCCATTTCCGCTATGATCGCCGCGTATGTGTCCAACTCGAGTTCTACGGCCTGTTGGTAGGTTAAAGAGGAATTGTAAGATAATGCTGAATATACTCTGTATTATTATATTTCTGTTAATTGAAAGTGTTAGAAATTTAAATAATGACAACTTCTTCTGATTTAAGTCCATATATCTATATACAGGGTGACTGGAGAATTACTATCGATACTTGAGCACGTGATATTTGACGATCATATATGACAAAATAAAAGTTAATATAACATAAATATTAATGAACTTCTAAGTAAAGTTAACCAAAAGTTATGTAATTAATTACGCATCGTTTGAACACCCTACAGATTAGGTATACACACACACACACACACACACACACACGCGTCGGCGGCGTGGTGTTGTATCAGCACGCCGCCGCACGCGTCCACACTTGGAACGCTTGGAACGTGTCCACCCTTTATTTATTTATACGGAAATTTGGTCAAAAATTAAGTACCTATTTTTTTTACATAATTCGAATGAGAATCATGTACCGAGTATGCTCCGTAAATATTGATAGTGATTCACCAGTCACCCTGTATATGTTAGATGTCATACTCCTGCCAAACGGCTTAACCGATTTTTATGAAACTTTATATGCATATTCAATAATTTTAACAATTGGCTACTATCTATATTTCATACCCCTATGTATAAGGGCGGCCCACTTTTAACACCTGATTTAATTTTTTTCGGACAACCTTTCATAATGTGGCTTTATAAAATACATACAACCCTAAATTATCACTCTTCTATCACCAACCCCTATTTTTAATATATGTTTTATAAATATTTGATCCTACTCAATGACTGATAAATTTTCACTTCATAAGTCACTTGATGACTTACATATATATATAGTGATTTATCATACATTTCTTGTAGCTCAAAAATTGTGTGATATGACGAAAATCTAATTCCTAGCTATGTATATATATGTATATTACCTTTTGCCGTGTGAGTAGTTGCGTCGCTCTATGCCTATCATTGCCGACGACACCGGAAGCCAGTGCGGCAGCCCTGTCAGCTAGACAGGTGTCGACTTCCGCTGCGTCATGCAGGAACTACTAGGCCTTGAGCGCCACCTCCAGCCGGGCCACGCGCTCCTCCGCCGCCGATGATTCAGAGGAGTACGCCTCTTCAAGCTCCTGGCACAGCTGCTTGATCTGGAATGTGATCGTTATAGTTTAGTGGGTGGAGTAGGGAAATAAATTATATGTATATGCATAAACTAATCTTCTTCTTCCTGACAATTTCCCAGCTTTTAGCCAGGGTCTGCCTAAGATGTGTGAATAGTTTTGCCTCATTGTTTTTACGACCGGGCGCCTGCCTGATATCAACCCTGTTTTGGAATGCATTAATCAGTGATGTCTAAATACTCTTATAAAGTACATATGACTCGAAAAAATCACATTCGTATTTGCCAGGACCGAACCTGTGCCCTCATGCATGAGAGGCGGGACTTTTAACCACTAGGCCACAACTGACTAAGGAAATGAATTATATGTATATACATAAATTAATATAATACAAATTGGTGTTTCAGTTAATGTCGCGTTCACACTGTTTACTTCGCTGTAAGCAACAGTACTATGCACATGTGCTTGGAATCTACTCTAAATTTCTCTCCTACTTTCTACATTTGTATATCTTTCTATCCCTACGTTGAACCTTTTACGCAACCTTGTTGGTAGTCGCATAAGAAGTTTCACTTCAAGAATTCACTCATAAAATATAAAAAAAATCAATTATTAACCGAACTTTGTCCAAGAATAATTTAATTATGCATGCTGTATATAATATTTCAGATGAACCAAGGTATGGTGTGGAGATCCAGAATGAATTTAACTATCATAATATGACGTTGGTAAGATGGACATTTTTTACTATGCGTCAGTTTTGCTCTATCGAACGGACGCGTGTTTCTATCTTAGAAATAAATACCTACATATAATCACTACAAATACAATGGGACATATAACTATAAAACATTACTATGTAATACATGAGAATGTGAGTTATACATATATAGTCCACCTTCCGAGCCTGTGGATGCGTGTCCAGCTCCTTGCCCCGCTGGAGCACCCTCTCCACGACAGGCCTCCGCCCCTCAAGCTCCGCCCTCAACATTTCGTGTTTCTTCTGCGCGTGGCAGATGAAGCGGGGGCGTGGCGCTCCGACACCCAAGCTACGAGTAGCTCTCCTGAAACCTCGGCAGCGAACTTGTATGGTCTGTGGAGGATTTGGATGAATAAAATTAGTCATCAAATTGATTATGTACTATTACTATCCTACTAATATTATAATTGCGAAAGTCTGTGAGTGTGTATGTATTTTTTTATTTATTTAGGCACACAACAGAATATAAGCCGGAGTACATATGAGTTACAGTATAAAATTATTTTTAGTTTGATTATATTCTTAAGTATGTGTATACGGCATAATCATTACAAAAACAATATTTTTGTCAGGTGCTACATTATTTAGCTACATTATTTAGGTACAATTTAAGACTAATGAATAAACAGGAAAATGTATGTTTGTTACTTCTTTACGCTCAAACGGCTGAACCGATTTTGATAAAATTTTGTGTACAGGAAGCTGACGTCCAGGAATAACACATAGGCTACTTTACATCCCGGAAATCTAGGAAAAAAGCGGGTAAAATCGCGGGGCGCAGCTAATATGGTATAAATTATAAAACAGTTGCTTTTCTTGTCCCTATATCCGTATGCATTCTTAATAATTTAAAACTACGCAGTGGATTTTGGTGCAGTTTTTTTTGAAAAATAGATTGTTTGAAGAGGAAGGTTTGTATGTATAATGATATCCATAAATAAGTGGAGAATCCTTATCGCGTTAAATAACTTTAATACATTTTTGATTTAAAATAGATCTATGGCCCTTTACAGTAAATATTTTAATCTTTATACCCGTCCCGGCTCAATTGTATATATGTATTACATACATATACAGGGTGACTGGTGAATTACTATCGATACTTGAGGACGTGATATTTGACGATCATATATGAAAAATAAAAATTAATATAACACAAATATTAATAAACTTCTAAGTAAAGTTAACCAAAAGTTATGTAATTAATTACGCATCGTGTGAACACCCTACAGATTAAGTATACACACACACACACGCGTGCGGCGGCGTGGTGTTGTATCAGCACGCCGCCGCACGCGTCCACACTTGGAACGTGTCCACACTTTATTTATTTATACGGAAATTTGGTCAAAAATTAAGTACCTATTTTTTTTACATAATTCGAATGAGAATCATGTACCGAGTATTCTCCTTAAATATTGATAGTAATTCACCAGTCACCCTGTATATTGTTCCGTCAACCGTTAATCATTTCTTATATAATATTGTATTGTCTATTGAATCATATTTTATTTTAGTTATATCGTATACTGACTGTAGACTAGTTTCCAGCGCCTGTCTCCTCTCGGCTGCTCGAGGGCGAAGCGCCCGGGCGGTCTGCAGCAGCGCAGCGGAGTCTCTCTCGATGGCCGCGCCGTCGAAGTGACCACTGGAGACCAGGTCGGAGCCCTGGGCTGCAAGGGACTCCGCTCGTTGTTCGCATTGACTCAACTCTTGTTCCAGAGCCTGTAGACATTTATGTTAATATTGAATATTATATAAATATAGATATGTTCTAGTAAATACAACAAGGACGAAATCGCATTTTTCTGTAAACAATAATTGTTTTTATCAATACGCATTTCTAAACAATATAATTCTACTTGTTTTACTTTAAAACAAATTGTTTTCTCATCTGAGGAGCCCTTAGTTTAAATCTAGTTATTAAAGCACCAGCAATTAGCTCTTTACACTTTGATTTTATAAAAATAATCTTAGCAAAAAAAGAAATCTTTAAAACCACATCACTACTCTCACACTGACAGTTACCACAAATTATATCATTTCTAAACAATATAATTCTACTTGTTTTACTTTAAAACAAATTGTTTTCTCATCTGAGGAGCCCTTAGTTTAAATCTAGTTATTAAAGCACCAGCAATTAGCTCTTTACACTTTGATTTTATAAAAATAATCTTAGCAAAAAAAGAAATCTTTAAAACCACATCACTACTCTCACACTGACAGTTACCACAAATTATATCAGTTAGCTGGCATAACTACGACAGATAATAATTTGAAAAGCAATACTATATACATGTACTTATATAGTATATCTAGTAGGTATGTATGGATATATGTTGGTCTTACAAGTAAATTATCCTAACTGATTTTGATAAAACTCTCCTATAAAGCAATTTAGACCTCACAATGACATCCATTATATTAGATACACATTAATCACCATCTGAGTAATTCCTAATACACGCATGAAGCCGCAGTAAACAGCTAGTATGTGATGTAACCACCTGGTGTAGTAGCAGCAGTCTCGTGCAGGATCTCAAGTCTGAACCCAGCTCGGAGCTGTTCAGAGCTCGCTACACCTCCGCCAACCTCGCTTTGGCCTCTTCCACCGACCTGGGAAATCATAATTATATGAATATATTCAATGCATATTCATAATATAGGAGATTACATGAGATGTTTCCATCATCATCAGCCTATCAGAGCCCACTGCTGAGCCTCTTCTCACATGGAGAAGGTTTGAGCATTAATCACCACGCTCGCTCAAGACGGGTTGGTGATGTCAAACTTATTATATGATATTATTGAATGTATAACCACGCTAAGGGTGATAGATGTATCACATACATTTAATAAGATTAGAACTTACAATCTGTACATAACGCGGTCCAGATTTTATGTTTTACTGAGAGATCATAAAGTATTTAGTGCAAGTTCGCACTTGAGTTGCTACGAAATTAAATTCAGAAATTTATTATCAATATGTGCCTAAATATATTTTATATCATACACTTCTCGTCTGCCCGTCATGACTGTTTCTTATATATACAATGAATGCAAAAACTTT